GGAAGCACGCCCGTCTTCTCTTCTCGAGAGAACAAAATCAATCTGGCTAGAGTGTTGACCACTACTAAAACTCACTAGATGGGATTCTCTCTTTTTACAAAGGGTGTTAGCTACGATCATATCGCAGGCTAGAGCGAAGCTCAAGACATCTTCTCCTTGATTTCGGATACCATAGCCAAAAACCCCATGCACCCCTTCAAAACCTGTATTAGATGTACCCATGTGGCCATTGAGGTCTCCTTCTATGAAGAGCTTCTCGCCAATAGGTACACTCCTAACCATGTTCTCGAGGCCTTCCCAGAACTCCCTCTTGGTGCTCTCAATGTGGCCTACGGGGTTTATGCCTTGATAATATTGAGAACTAAGCCCCCAACTACCAGCTTGACCATGATAATCCGGTCCCCTTGCCTCTTGACGTCTACCACTCCATACTTGAGGCTCTTGTTGATCAAGATGCCTACTCCATTTCTGTTTGTAGTTGTCCCCGTGTACCACAGCTTGAAGCCAGTATCCTCCACCTCCTTCGCCTTCTGCCCCCTCCATTCGGTTTCTTGGATGCATAGGATATCAACACCTCTGCTCAATCCTCACCGCTGTATCAACTAGCTCCCGTAACTTACCTGTCAGGGACCCTATGTTCCAGTTACCTAAGCTAAGCGGATCCTACTAGGTTCGGCTAGCTTCCTTACCCTTCGCACTCATCGAGCCAAATGCGAAGACTTGCTCATTTTCACTACACCCGGGCATTGTCGATGTAGCGCGCCACTAAGGATGCGATGACCCAATCCTTGCTCACTTATCACCATATCCAGATCAAGATACGGCACGCCACCAAGGGGGTGATGGCCCGGCCCTTGCCCACTTAACACCACACCTGGGTTCCGGTATGGCGCATTACTAAGAGGGTTATGCCCCAACGATGTTCTTTTGAGTTTCATCTCTACGAGAGTGGCTGAGTTTTGACGTTTGCTCGCCGAGCCTACGACAACCTTCCTCCTCTACCCGGGCTTGGGACCGGCTATTCTGAGACCACATAGGCAAAGTTGATGTTGTCATTTCTAACCATTCTACAAAGACCGATATGGGCATGAGGCAAATTTCTGGCACTGACAGTGATAGTTCTATTCGATGGTCAGCTATGATAATTTATACTTATTATTTTAAAAGGAACATTTATGTGTTACAATTGCTCCTTTTTTTCTTTCTTCCCGTTACCCAATGCAAGGGACCAGTGCTAACGTTATACCTCAGTGACGCAAGGAAACAATTCTTTGGCAAACATTTTTGGATAATAGGGGTGTGCTCCTTTTTTCAGGTCGGTTTACTGCTTCTAGAATCGATACTGCTTCTTGGCTACTTCTCTTTGTTCCATCCCGGGAATCAAGCAGTTCTTCGATGGGGTAAGAGCCCCACAATACTTCATAAGGTAAACAGTTATTTTATGTAGCCATGTTTTTTCTTAATTTCTGGAGAATATTGGTCGATTCTGATGAGTTGAGAAACAGGTGTGCGACCTGCCCTTTGCTTTCTTCAGCGACCCAGAGCTGATGCCCATCTTGACTACTGCTCTCATTGCTGTCTGCTACGGCTGTGATCAGAATAGAAGTGTGGTACTTCAAGAAATAAGCTCAGATATGATCGATACTTTGCTTAGGTCCTGCAGAGCGTCAGTGCTGGCCACTTCAGATTCCGTCGCCGTGGATGGTTCTGGAGCCAATAATTCCGGTGACAGCACTCATATCTCGCCGGACATCAGAAACTCACTATCTGACATGTCGATACGGTCAAGCCGCAAAGGCGTGCGGCCAGTGTTAGGAAAAGGCGTTTTAGGGGCCATCAAGTTAAACAGAAACAAGAATCAAAAGGATGGTAGAGGAGTACGAGCTGGTGATGATGGGGTGCCCTCGAAGCAAAGGGCCGGAGAAGCTTCATCGGCTTTTATGTTGCATAGGAAAATCCCGGCTTTCTTCTTTGACAAAGCAGAAGAGTTCTTCTGCGGCGGTGCATAGCGAAAACGCTGAATAGCACAAGCTGACCAGACCTTTACCGGAGGCTACAGAATTCGGGTTTTTGCACAAGCTGACCAGACCTTTAGAAGAAGCTACCGAATTCGGGTTTTTTGCACAAGCTGACTGGACCTTCACAAGGAGCTGCCTGCCGAATTCGGGTTTTTGAGGCGATGGTTCGTCTGACTAGTGTACCATGCGGGAGGCAGTGACATATCAGCAGGCTGGTTCCAGGTTACCCTACCTGTTATTTTTTGCCGGGGGCTAAAGATGTTATTGTAGAGAATAAGTTTGCGATGCGGCGTTATGCATTCCTCAAATTAGCCTCTGTTCCTTGTCCAAAAGAATTGTATAGAAACAAGCTGTGAACTGTAGTGTCAAACTCTGGCACCAACACATGCACACAGGGAAGAAATACATCATATATACTATTTTGGGTGAGCTTCAGTTCAAAGTATGTTACAAACCAGACAAAGCTGTTATCCTTTTTCGAACATTAATTATAGACGCGTATGTTGACAATCAAAAGTTTCTATTACAAAACAACCAAGGCTCTGTCTTGGCAGGAACTACAACAAAATGTATCGTTTTCCATGCGACTACTAGCCATCAAGCCTTGTGGTTACCTTATGGCTCTTAAGTCACCCCTTGTTATTTCCTACTACAAAGTTAGTACAAAGTTGGGTTCCTAAATAGATGACCCAACTTTGTACTAACTTTGCTGGGTCATCTATTTTGGAATGAAGAGAGTAATAAGGTGCTACCTCGTCATTCTTAGGCCTTGTACAATGCAAGGTGCTTAAGGGTGGTGCTTGAGAAAATAAACCAAGCTTTTCTTAAGCACCAGTGTTTATTTGTACAGGGTAGACGTTTAATTAGGCGTCTCTCATGTAGAAATAGGCACTAGCTTCAGAAAAACCCGGTTTATTTTTGTAAACACCTCCCTAAGCACCTAGCATTGTACAAGGCCTCATGTGCCTCCTCTTTTTGCTTCTTTCCATTTTGTGGCAGTTGAGAGTTGTGTCTTGAGTCGATGCCATATTCGTGAGATCTTACATTGAGATCCGTGTATTTTTTTTTCTTACATGTTATTTCACTGAGTATTTAACAAAAAACTACCACATTTCGTGGAACCGTGCCTACAAACTATCACTTTACAAATTTGTGCCAAAAACTATCACTTTCTCACTAATCCTTAACTAAAAATTACCATGTCTAAAAAGAGCCCGATTTGCCTCTAAACACGTTTCTGACAGGATGGGCCCAGTGTTGACGTGGCACATTAGCAAAATCTGTTTGATGGCGGCCGAGGAGCTCGCGGCCGCCGGCGAAGGGCGCGGGGCGGGCGGCTCCAGCGCGACACGCAGCGACCCGCGGCGAGCGGCTCCCGCGGCAACCGCGTCCAACGGTGGTCGTGGGGTTGCCGGACGTGCATCCTAGCGACGTCTGCGGCGAGCGGAGCGGCGGCCGGTGCTCGGCCTTGCACGGGCGCGAGGCTGCGGGGGGGTTAGCGGCTGCCTGAGGGGCTCGCTAGCCTCCTGGGAGGGCCAGGAGTGCGCTGCCGCGCTCGGCGTCAATAGACGCGAGCCCTCGCCATGGCAGCGGCAAGGTGCGACGGCTATGTAGCTACGGTTACGGCTGAGCGCGCGCCGGAGCTCGGGTCCGAGATCGAGGGGGGAGGCAGAGGGAAGGCGCGACTCACAGTGGTGTTGAGAAGTTGCTCGGGGCAGCTGGGGTCGCCGGAATGCGACGGATTGACGCGGCTATGGGCGGTGGCCAACGGCGAGGAAGTGATGCGCGCGTTGTCGGAGAGGCCCCCGGGGTTCGATCTAAAGTAGTAGTTGAAGGAGCGGCGCACGACGGAGGTCCTAGACATACTCGAGGGCCCCACGAGCTTGGTGGGCACAACGACGGCGAGGTGGGAGCAACGAGCCCACTCAGAGGTGCTTGGGAGCGAGCGAGAGGGGCTAGGGAGGAGGAACTGCGAGGTGCACTGCGGAACGGGCGCGCGCGTGCGGGTGCGTCTCGGAGGACGAGCTCCGACGCTCGGCCACGGCGTTGATGCGGCGAACTGAGCGTGAGGAGGAAGAAAGGTTGTGCGGGCGAGAGGGTCATCGGAGTGCACACGAGGTGTTCGAGGAAATGCCAGAGAGAGAGGAGGAGGAAGAAGATTGATGCTGACAGGTGGGCCCATCCTGCCAGAAAGGCGTTTAGAAGAGACGAATCGGGCACTTTCGCGACATGATAGTTTTTAGTCAAGGATTAATGAGGAAGTGGTAGTTTTTGGCTCAATTTTGTAAAATGGTAGTTTGTAGGCACGGTTCCATGAAATGTGCTAGTTTTTTTATTAAATACTCTATTTCACTTGACTAAGACCGGTTAAGTCTCGATCGACGGAGACCTAGCCACATCCATGTTGATAATCCATAAGTTTCTATTACAAAACAATCAAGACTCTTATATTCGGAGGAACTACAACAAAATGAATGCATCGATTCCCATATCACTAGCACCCCCTCTGTACCGAAATACTTGTAGTTGAGGAAACTTAAGTATTTCGGTACAGAGGGAGTAGTAGCCATCACTAATCTTATTCATGAACGTGAAAACTTTCCAAGGAAATGCAAATAGTAATAATAATAATCCTGCGCTCTCAGCTCCTTCCGCCACAGTGGAGAGCTTGCCATCCTGGACCTGCCTTCAACGGTTCGTCGCCCGCCCAACCTCCAACTGTCCGTCCCCGCGAGCTCGGTCTTCGGCAGCCGTCTCCGCGGCATCCGGTTGTCGCCGACGCATGCATGCGCTGTTCCTTGAGCGCGGTCGTCTTGCCGGCCCCGTCCATGCCGCTGCTCCCGCTGACTCCGTCATCGCGGCGTGGCCTTGCTTGTAAGTTGTCACTCACCGTCTCCGCTCTACAGCGGGCTGCTGCGCCGTCCGTGCGCCCAGCCCAGGCTCCGCGGCGGGGCACTTGTGCCGGCGACGACGATATATATATTACGACAGTTCCCCCATCCCACAGGGCGTGTAGGGAAAAGATGCATTTACACCTGCAACCGAGCCAGCGATATGGCCGTAGTGCCTTGGACGCAGGATGCCCATGTACTCAAGCCTCGAGCGCTTCAAATGATAGGCCAACCCCCTCGTCAAAGTATCGCACAAGAAGACGACATCCTCAAAAGGATGGAACCCGAGGAAACTCATATAATCAGATTTGGCCGGTGCCTGATCGTCGCCTTCTTCTTCTCCGTCGGAGCCGCCGCCGCCGTCGTTGACATTTTCCAGGATCCAACGCTCGTCGGTTTCTTCCCGACGGCACATCCCACGTGCCAGCGCTTGCCGAAGGTCGACGCGATGCTTCAGCGCCCACTTGCATCGCCCGCGCGACTCGTCCAGCCCCCAAACCCGGAGAAATCTGAACGCGTCTTCCACCAGCGCGCAGCGGACCTCGTTCCCCGACTTGCCCAGATGAAGCTCCGGATACTCGGCCATCTCCATGCCCGCCGGAGGGCGGATCACCCGATACTTACGGTCCGCCATCGATATCCTGCAGCAGAAGTCGTTTTGGATCTGCACGTAGAGCGCCCCGCGCAGGTACACGCCGTAGCGCTTCACGTCAGGTGTAGCCTGTCCTCCTCCAGCATGCCGGCGATGGTTCCCGCGGCGCTTCCTTGCCGGACGAACGGCCTCTCCTCCCACCGTTTCGTCTCCGACGAGTAGACGGGCAGGACGAACGGCGACGGCGGCCACTCCGATTCCCTGGGCATCCGGCCCAGCCTCTCCTCAAATGGAACGAGAGGGATCGAGACCACCTCGTAGTGAGGAGAGACGCTGGGATCAAACACCAGAAACTTGTCTCCTCCCAAGACGTAGAAATCCTCCATCCCGGCGCGCGAGGGCAGCGGTGGCAGCGGCGGCAGCTGCGCGCACTGCCGCGTCGCGGGGTTGACCACCGTGTGGGAGGGTAGTAGGACGAGGCCGTTGCAGTGCTCGCTGACGGCGGCGTTGGCCGAGCTATAGGTGAGGTCGCCGGAGACCGCGGTCCTGGTCGACGGACGGAAGAGCTCGGAGACCTGCAGGAAGCGGAAGTCTATGAAGATCCCGCCGAGCGTGTGCGGAAGGAGGTCCGCCCGTAGCAGCTGGCCGGCGTCGATCATGTCGTGCCAGGCCTTGCAGACGCAGCGTGACGTCGCGAGGCTGCGCGGCGGGAGACGGCGGAGGATGTCCGCGAGCACGTCGTCGGGTAGCAGCTTTATTACTGCTTCCATATGCATCCCTTCCTTGATCACACGTACGTCGCTCTTGTTGGACGACTACCTGATCAAATACAAGCCGACTCTGAAACACACGTGAAGCTAGCTTGTACAACCTTGGCGCTGATGGAACTAGCTAGCACACACACGAGACACAACACGGCGACACGCGAGTATATCTATATCTATACCTACTATTAAAGGGAATAGGTATTCTTGGTTAAAGGGAATAGGTATTCTTGGTTTGGTTTGCCTTTATTTCGTCCCGGTTCGATGATTTTTATGTACGCTATTTTTTGGTTCGATCCGTTTTGACCAACATATGACGTAGGTGCAAAGGAAACTAGAAAGAGCTGGGGAAAGTTCAAAAAAAAAAGAGCTGGGAACGTACGTCCAAAGGATACCCGGACAGCCAGCCCATATGCAGAGGAAAAGAAAAACAAAGCAACGCGGATATACGGAAAGGAAACCGTGACGGCTGGCTTCGTCACTCGTCCGAACGCACGGCGTACGTTGTGCTTACGGCGCCGCCGCTGCTGCCTTCCTCCGGCCCCGTGTCACTCTTATTTCAGATCATCTCTACACTCTGCATTTTATTCAGAAAAGCGTACAAAGTAAAGGTAATCATTACATTTTGTTCTTGCTGCTAGGGACAGGTGCTCAAGTGTAGTTTAATCATGCAATAACTAACTGTACTTCCCAACAGTTACATAACTGAACCTTCCCACCAGTTCCTTGCCCTCTGCTATACAAATCTATGGTTCAGTTAGTCTTAAACTTTGCATCTAAAATGTTAAGGGACGATGGCATGTTATTGCCCAGATTAACTTCAGTAATCTTTCGTGCTGATTAGTACTAAGTTCGCTACTGCAGTGCGGCACATGGAAAGAGAGGGGGAGAGGGGAGAGAGTGGGGGTGGACCTCCATGGCGCTGGCAGCAGTAGGTCGGAGGAGCTCGGAGCAGTGGAGCCGTCTCCTCGGAGGGCTTCGTCGTCGGCGAGCAGGACCATGCTGAGGAAGCAGTGGCCTCTCACTCCTCTACCGGCCAGGAGCGCCGCTGCATCCGCGCGAGGAGCCGCGCCGTCGATGGTGGCGCGGGTGGAGCTGAAATAATAGGGAGCCGCGCAAGGTCCCGTTGATACGGCGGCGCGGCTGGAGGGCACGACGGTGCAGCCACCGGAGGCGATATTCTTCCTGCCCTCGTCCTCCGAGAACGACGAGAAGATGGGAGGCGGCGGCGGCGGCGTTATCCAACACTGGGGAGGGAGAATGGGGAACGGGAAGGGAGCTTTTTCTTTTTTCTTTTTTACTTTTTCTTAGTAACAGAGAGAAGATTTTCTTTTAGGTGAACGCATGGAGAAGAGAGAGTACGCGTTGAATGTGTGTGTCTCAATCAAAAAAAGAATGTGTGTGTCGGTCAAGTCCTTATGCTTGGCCAAGCCCAAAAACAGTGCAAAAAAACATAAATATGAAATATATTTTTTCAAAAAAATGTTCGTCACAAAAAAATGATACAATTTCTAAAAAATGTCCTGGAAAAAATACAAAAAGTACACCTTTTCAAAGAAAATGTGATTGTGTTCAAACTTTTTTTGTGACTTTTGAACAAGAAAAAATATAATCGATCGAAAGACTATTCCATGCACAACTACTTTTTCATCAAATGAAAGTGTGGAGCTGAATTAGATCCTCACGAACGTCGTTAGGGTGGCTTCTTCATGTCTGGATTTTATGGTCCAAAATGTATGCTCAATATAACCTTATTTCTCACGTTAGCCAAAATTAAATATCAAAGGTGTTGCGTAATGCCACGTGGAGCATGATTAATTTTTTCGCCCGTTGCAACGCACGGGCATTTGTCCTAGTATATATATAGCACCAAAGGCATACAGTAGATGAATCGGTGACTGATCTTAGTCCGATTCGGAAGGGACGTGTGGGCTGTCAGTTTTTTTATAGGAGAGAAAAAAAAACGTGGACTCAGTTTTTTTTTTTGGGAAAGCCTCTCGATGATTTATTGCTTTGTCAACAGGATTACATCGTGTAAAACATAAGATAATAAAAAAGATATCATCGAGAGGCAAAGCTAATTAGCTTAGGTTACATGCAACAACCCGTCAAAAAAAAGTTTACATGCAGCAATAATCCATCAAGAGATAGCACGTACGAGCACATGCATACACCAGCTTCATGACCAATCGAGCATATATATTTAACCTGCGGTTAAAGCTCATCGCGGATAAGAAAATAAATGTGATCCTGCTGGCACGTGCGCTGCTCCCGGCCGCTGCTTTCCTATTCCTACGCAGCACTGGCCCCACTCTCCTCATAGTGCCACTGCTCCACCAGCCGCCTGCCGCTGGCTGCGCGCCACGCCACAGTGAGCTTCATGCATAACCGTAGGCACATCCCGTCGTGCTGCCCAGGCCTTGTGCTGCCATAGCTGCTGTTGCCGTAGCCTAGGTCGCGGAGGTGAGCACTATAGCTGGCCAAATGGGCCGGTTTTTTCGGGCCGGCCCGTGAGCACGCCGGCACGGCCCGCCTTGGGCCAGGCACGGCACGGGCTAAACAGGCCGGGCCAGGCACGCGGCACGCCCTGGGCCGTGCCTGGGCCTGGAGGCTGGGCACGCGGGCCGGCACGGCACGGCCCGATTACGTTTTTTTATTTTTTTATACATATATATATGGCCCAACATATAAAAATAGGCTAAAAAACGCTCAGTGCGTCAAATAACAGGCTAAAATTATTCAGCCCACCGTGCTAAACGGGCCAACGTGCCGGCCCGTTTACTAACTGGGCCGTGCCTGGCCTGCAGGCTGCAGCACGCGGGCCGGCACGGCACGGCCCGTATAATAATCGTGCCTTGGCGGGCCGGGCCGTGCTAGGCACGATTGGGATGGGCCGTGCCGTGCCGGCCGGGCCGGCCCGTTTGGCCAGCTATAGTGAGCACTGGATCCCAGGACCCTGCACGTCGCTGCAACCCAAGCCGAATGAGCCGCACACAGCACTAGCAGGCAGCAGCTTTTCTTCCACTCACGTCGCTCATTGAGCACACATCCAAGAAGAGCTCTGTGTGTAAGGGCAAAAGTGTCTTTTTACATGCAATCTAACACCGTTAAACCGAAAAATGGACGAAAGTGTCATAAAGGGCATAAAATTTAGACTTGGTGTTATATAGAGAAGAAAAAGTTTTTCAGTGTTAAATAGAGAAACACAATTTAAAATAGTGTTAAATAAGGAATTCTTTCTACCTACAATGGTAGACCCTTGCAAAGACGCTAACAGTGATAAGAATAAATATAGCCGAATTAGAAAAGTGCCTAAGCGCCTTACGTTGCAATGGCAGGCGCTAATATTACATGCGATTAAATTGCACTACCCGGGCGCTTCGCATGGGAAGAAAAACAAGAAAGCGCCCAGCGCACAGGCTTGCGTCGATGCTACACATAACACTGGGATTCTAGTGATAACTGCCCAATCAACCAGGAATCTGATCCTGGCGCCCGTGCTAAGCACCAGGCGTTCTACATGCCGTAAGCATGTTTTGCAAGATGATGAGCCACCTGGGACAAAACTCAAAAGAGATACCATCAATCGTATGGATTTTCGCAAAGCATTCCACCAAGGTTGTAGTATATGGACTGAACATATCAACCTCACCCTTACATGCATTTTTCAATTCCAGTGAGTCAGATTCAACAATAATATTTGTGCAACCCAACCTCTCGAGCAGCTCCAGCCCCTTCAACATTGCCAAAGCATCTACTGAGGTGGCATCAAGAGTAGAGACAAATAGAAAAGTTGTACCAACAACCACTTCACCAATGCTATTTCGCAAGACAATCCCTACTGCACCACCTGTACCATTATCATGAAATGCAGCATCCGTATTTAGTTTGTAGCATCCGGTTCTAGGTTTTGTCCAAGATATTTCATGCGGTGCACTGGGGTAAAACGTGGACTCAGTTAATTCCAACCATAGCGTGAAAATATTTGCCCCCTTATTCCCTCTAGTCTCTAATCTGAACAGATACTATCCATTATTTGTCATATCTAAAAAAAATGATAGAAACATATGCACATTTGATTGAAGCCGAGTACACAACGCGGATGGTAAACGAGTCTTTTTTATCTGAAAATGATAAGTACCTGACGTCAGGTACAAGCACGTGGCAAATTGAACATTTTCGATTGCAATTATAGTGATGCAAGGATGGCAAGTTAGGCACACACGATAATTTTCTGTCGAAAAATAAGCTGAAGCAGAAAGTTGCTATGCTTGTCAA